TTCATTTGTTTAATTGATAATTTAGATATTAATATAGAAAAAATCACAAAATTTGTTCGCTAATTTTAACTCGGTCAAACACATAGTTCTCGTGGATTCGACATTCTATTAATCATTTTATTACTTGACCACGATTCCATGCACTGACGAGTTTTCAAAGGATCAATTAATTTAATCCTCAAAATATCTTAATCTGTTGATAACTCGCAAAACTATGAACCAATTAACCGAAAGATCATATTAGCAATACACTAATTTTTGTGCGATTGAATAATAGACGGTTGAGAATGTTACAAATGGTTGACTTGTTGAGCGGCCTTAATTGGTGGAAATCGTGGTTCATATTAAAGTTGCAATTTTCATTGAAGTAGCACTATCGAAAACGTTTTTACTAATGGAGTGGATGCGTGAGATGCAGCCAAGTGTTACCTTCTATACCGTTGGGATGAGTGGACCTTTTGGTGGCTTCTTTTGACGAATCTGAAAGGCTGCTTTGTGGATGGTTGTATACATTCGTCTATGTTTACTCTCTATCACGACTATTGTTTTCTGGATTTCTGAAAATCTCTCTTTAGATTTTCTTCTTCTTCTTGAGTGACGAGTTGTCTATAAATCTAAGTTATATGTGGTTTGTTATGTTCTTCAGTGAACATCAACTTCGACAGAGATTTTGGTTTCGATTTCTGAAAGTCGTAATCTTGGACGATCTGGTTTTTATTATAGTGCAGTGGTTCCTTCCAACAATGAAAACTCAAAAAGAAGATTAGGAATTTTAAAATCTTGTATTCTTGAGATCTTTTTTTAATTTCTTGCTTTACTATGTTCATCAATTGGTGAAACTAAATTCTTATTTTGTGAAGTATATGCATTACACAGATAATTTGAAATCGACTATAAAAATTCTTTCTTTGACATTGACTAATACATTGCTAGATTTAAGACATTTTACTTATTTATAACATATTAATTTTTTGTCCGGTTTAATAATAGGCCGTTTCGAATTAACTTGATACATTGCTAGACTTACTTAGTGGTTGAGTAGAGGACAATTTGGTGTATTTTATGATCCTGTATAATTCAATTTCTTCACCATAGCTCTTCTTACATAGGAAGTATAATACCGTATATGCCACGTTTGGAAAAAAATTTCCCAAAGAAAAGAATAACACCATAACCATCCACTAATGGTCCAATTCACTGGCATCATATCGTAGGCAAGGAACAGAATCAAATCCAGCAGATTGAAGCATATGTTTAGCATTAAACCATGCAATCTCTTGCCCTTGCCCTTAATAGCTGAGGTAGCTTTTCCCAATGCCTCTATTCCACAACCTTCCTCGACTATAGATACCACAATAGCCAAGTTCCAGGCGACGGGCAAATATAAACAGCAAACAAAGCAAAAATAACTAGCAAGACGACGGCTGAAAGCAGACATGAATAAAAGAACAGTCAATGCCACACCCAAGAACAGGTAAGCCATTGCATGAAGTTTTGTATAGAATTCTGTTATTAGTGCCCTTTTCCATGTTCGAAGTGTCCTTAAACATAGATCTTTCATGGATGATGTCTTGTCTTTATAAGACATAGCTGATACTAATATTGTTGCAGTAGTGGAGAAGTTCAGTACAATGAGAATAGCAAGAAGGAAAGCCATTTGCACAGCCACAAGAAGAGCAAAATCATCTCTGAGCCATTCTTCTCCAAGAAGTTCGGTTGGATTAGACCTGAAAGAAGTAGTATTCAGTGTAAACAGGCTCTGATCAGCTACAAAGCGAGGATTCTACATGTAAACCTCGACAATATCATTAAGCAAGAATTTGAAGGAGAAGGTGAAAGAAAAGAGCAAGATCGAATATAGGATTAGGGTAAGTATAAGTATTGATGTCATCAGCTTTCCATTTTTCGGGAGAAGTTTCATAGATTCCTTTAGAATCGACAAGAAACTAAAACACACATAGAATTCCATAACATCTTGAGAAGTGTTTAGAGCTATTGAAAACCTTGTATATACATAGAATAATGCCACTTTGTCAGAAAATAGTTTACATGATGATTGACATAATAGGGGCTGGTTTGGACTGGATTAACACTACAACAAAACAGTCTATGGCAATGTTTGGACGTGTCCTGCAAATCAAGGTATTGTCGTAGAGTAGAGAGATGCGACAATATTTTTTGAACGTTGCCGAAAGTCTTCGACAACGTTTAAAAAACGTTGCCGTAGAGATTTGGCAACGTTTGGTAAATGTTGCGAAAGACAGCCTACGGCAACGTTGGTCAAATGTTGCTGTAGCTATCTACTGTAACGTTTGACAAACATTGTGAAAACGTTGTGAAAGAACTTTCGCAACGTTTGTCAAACATTGTTTTAACAACTACAATTTATGCAAATTGATTGACAAATTTGAAAATGCACCTCATGAACAAATTTTGGAATTACATAAAAGTTGATAAATTCATTACATATTTTTGAATCCACACACTTAAACATTAGAATATGATACAACACTACTTAAATAAAAAGAAGTTTCAAAATGAAATAAAACAGTAATAGAAAAACTCCATCATAAACGGAACACAGAAGCTACTATCTTTCTTCTTTCCAGATGCCTTCACGATTGCAGCACGTATTTCATC